AAGCTGATGTCACTCACCGCTTCGTTGTTGTAAGTGGCCCACCAAAGCTGTTTATGAGACATTCCGGTGTAGTCCAGTCCCACAATAGATTGCCAGTTGTTGTAGCTACTGTATACGCCCCAATTGTGTCCAAGAGCCTAAACCTACTCATAATTATTATAAGAAAAAGAAATCATTTTCAGAAAGCTTACCGTTAATTCTTTACCCATGGCTTCAATGAATTGACGGTTCTTAGTGTGATCGGCTGGCCAGTGATAAATCTCGATGTCAAGCCAAAGCATACCTACACTGGCTCCAGCACTTTTCAGAGCATTCACAGTACTTTGCACCTTAAACGACAACAAATTTCTTCTAAGGAAAAGTAGTTAAATGATTTGAAAACCTGCGAAGCAGGAGAAGCACAAGATGAGGTTGTGCATGGGAAAATGTATCCGTCAACATTAGTGATACCAGCTGTAAGAAAATAATTTGATTGTACAGTTTTTGCGTCCTGTCAGCGCATTTAAGGTATAATACAGTATTCTTGCGCCAACAAATGGGCGTATAGAACTTGTAGGAAAAGGTTGCAACATAGATGATGATAAAATTTTTCCCGTAATGAATGTTTATTGACTGTTCGCTGACTAGTATTAAAATAGTATCCTAATTCCGTTTCGTTCCTTCCCTTAGATGGAGCTTAAGATCTCCAAGCTCTCCCTGGAACACTTCAATAAGGATGGAGAGCCTGCGAGACCCTGTGTTATCTCCCGAATTCTATTCAAAAGTAATTTTATGAAACTGATGTTGAACGAGATGTTGAGACGGCCTTTTCGACCGTCGTAAAGTAATTTTTCCAACAAACATTCGTCTCGTCATACAAGACAAGTACATGTCAAAGGCAATTCTCTCCAAAACACCATTTGTGAACTCTCTTATGCCACAGCCATAGTTTCTTACAAGCTCATGAAGAGTCCTTCTTCTTTACCTTACATTTTCGTAACTTCTGCTATCCGACATATGGATCAAAGTAAGTCAAATAGCAAGTTCCAAGCAACTCACCAGCCTTTGCATTTTTGAGATTCTGTATTCCGTGGCTGTCAACAGCACCGTTTGATTCGTGGACTCGACCGATGAAGAAAGAATATCCATGTGATTTCATGCATTTGAATTGTTCGGTGGTGAGTGACTGTAAACCGCTGCTAATTTGTTGATTTTGAAACCGATCTGCAGCTAAATACAAACTCATTGCACGTCAGTACAACTGTTTTCTATGCGCAAAGTCAATCACTTAATGCCTTAAATTAAGATTCTCTGCATCCTGTAAGAGTTGTGAAGTGCCCTAGGTTGTCCTAGGCTTGGGAGATGTGCTTCTAAGTTTACCTTTATCGAGTGGATTATGGAGCTAATACTTCAAAAACAATGGGAAATCCACGAAGGAAATGCAGTACAAGCACTTGATGCAAATTAATTGCACCAGTGAAGAGATTATGTATTTTTCGCGCTCATCAATTCAGCTCGATTATAGCTTATAACCAGCGGAGGGATGCGCTATGTGTCAAGAAGGTTATTACCTCACAAAGCGAAACAAATCGGAACTCACTGCGCTTGCATCGAATCCAGTAGCAGCAAAGCTGACACCGAAGATGGTCGTTAATAAAATCAAAGCACTGAAATGAAGTGTTATAATTGCCGTAAAATCTCATTTTAGTGCTCTTGCCTCCATCATTCAAAGAAATGTGAGTCATGAATTTAAACATTAACTGTGGACGTGATCTGGTAAAATTCTATGCGTATGAGCTGATAAAAAGGTTATGATATAAAGCTTTACATAGAATCACATTTGAATGAGTCAGTTTTATTTTATAACAAGGGTCCAGTACGTATACATTGAATTGTTTGTATCTCTCTTCCCAAGAAGTTTTTGCCTACCTTGAAATGCCGTTCTGTAAAGCTCGCGTCAGCTTGATTTTCGAGCATAAAATCAATCTTGCTTAGCTATTGTAGGATTACGATAGGGACTTTGGAGATGATTGTCAACCATTAAGGAACAAATTTTTGCTTCAGAAAGGAAATCAAACTATCTTGAAAATCTTACATTAGGCTATTTGGTTTTAGTGAGTTTGAATATGAAATTTGCATTTCCCCACTGTGCTTCGTCAACAAGTTAAATATGTAAGCATAGCAGCTGTTTCTTCGTTGTTCCCAAAAATGCGAATACACGTTTAGAAAGCTTCACAGCCTTAGGCACTGATTACAAAAGTTTCACATTTTTTTGAAACAATGCTTTTACACAGTGGCGCTAAATGCTGGAAGCTCCTACCGTAATATACAGTAATGAAGAGCAGCCGGTGATTCGGTTCGAATTGTAAATCTAAGCTGAAGCAGCTCTACGAAA